AAACTCACCATTGAGCTTCGGCCGTTCCAAGATAAAATAGTCGGATTTTATACCTCGTAGCTGCTAATTTTTGGCTTCGGCGAGGAGAAGCCGACATCCAACGCACCCTTGTTGGAGTGGCTAGGAGTATAATCCTACGACTCGCGGAGTACCTCGCTCAGTACATCAGTGGTTTCATGCGGCAAGTACGTGAGCTAGCCACCCCGCACACCCAATATCTGCTGTATGCCACGTATTGGGTGAGGCCAATCCTCTCTGAGCTCTTGGGAGCAGCAAAGGAAGAATCAGGTCCCCCAACAAAAACAGAACCCGAGTGGACCGGTTAAGGCGTTGGTCAGTCCGAATCCTTACTTACGAGTGGTAGCTGGGCTCACCGTGGTCAGCCGCGTGTCGGTCCTCATTACTTGGTTCCCAGCGAACTGGGCAAGTAAGATAGCGCCACGTATCCAACGTGGTAGTGCAGGTTCGTACCAAAATGCTCAGAAAGTGTACATCCAAAGCATCCGAAGCGCCCAGCTACCGTAACCTAATGAGGCTGGTGGCGAAATTTGGGCTATTCGCTCTGATGGTTACCTCTTAGCTAACCGGTTTGCCGACAATCTTGCTCCGGGCATACATGGCATCTCGACCCTGAGTATGCCCAACGTAATAGCATCAGTGCCACAATTAAAGGGTACACCAATAATCTTATCCAGCCAACTGTGATGATGAGTTTCGCTCCAATGAGAGCGACGTATATTCTCTTAGAGATTATTATACGTTCAGAGATTGGTATCACTGCCGAGCGCTAGATATAACCCGATCCATACCCCAATTCATATTTATTCTATATCTAAATCCAATCATATCAAAAATCCAATCATATCAAAATAAATATCAAAATAAAAATTCAATTTTATTGCTATTTTTTTATTATTTTCATAATTAATACTAATATTCCTATTTTTATTTTTACTAATATGTCTATTTTTTTTATTATTCTTAATATTATTATAATTATCATTATTATCATTACCATTAAATTATTATTATTTTTAGTCTTATTAATATATTTTTTAATTAATAATAATTATATATTTAATAATAATAAATAATTTAAAAAAATAGCAACTAAATAATAATTTTATTATATATATAATTTAAAAATTATTAATAAATATATATTATTAAATTATTTATTTAAATTATATAAATAATTAATATTAATTTAATATTAATTTATTTATTATATTTCAAATAAATAATAAAAATTAATATATAATATATTTTAATTAAAAATATATAATTTATATTTTATAAATTATATAAATATATTATTTATATATATATATATATTTATTTATTTAAATTAAATATAATTTTTAAGATTTGTTTAAAATATATATAAATATATAAATATATAATATTTATTATATTTATTTATTTATTATTTATTTATTTATATATTTAAATAAATAATATAAATTAATATATAATATAATTTAATCATAAATATATAATTTATATTTTATAAATTATATAAATATATTATTTATATATATATATATATTTATTTATTTATTTATTTAAATTAACTATAATTTTAATAATAAATATTAGATTTGTTTAAAATATGTATATATATATATAATGTATTTTTTATTTGTTTTTATTTATTTAATAATTTATTTTATATGTTAATTTATATAAATTTGATATTTTATTAGATATAATTTGGTATATCGTGTAAAAATTCCTAGCCCTTTCAAATGTTTTTTCCCAATGTTTTTTTCCCATCTTATTATTTTTCCAAGTGCTGGCTTCATATCTTGACCAAAGGATTCATATAAGCGAGGAAGGGAGAAGGAAAAGGAAGAGTAAAGGAAAAAGAAAGAATAGGAAAGGGAGAGGAAAAGGAAAGGGAAAAGAAAAGGAAAGAAAACGAAAGGAAAAAAAAATAGGACCGAATAGGAAAGGAAAAAGGAAAGAAAAAAGAAAGGAAAAAAGGAAAGGAGAAGGAAAAGGAAGGGAAAGGAAAAAGGAGAGGAAAGGAAGAGGAAAAGGGTCGTGTATCACACGGACCATTTTTGATACCAAAAGCTATCGTTTTCGTTATCGTTTTGTTATCTTTCGTGAATCCGGTGTACGTTTTCTGGAAATGGTTTCAATCATCAAAAAAGGAGTGTAGCGACCACCTACCAGGCACCTTCCTTGTGCAGAATCTGACACGCATTCGTTGGCGCGCAATTATGACAACAAACAATGAAATGAAGAAACCAAAAACACTAAATAGCTGCAGAACGACGGATAAACAAAAAACATTGGATTTCAAGAGTCTAGACAGAACGTTATCGTTTTTTTTCCTCTTGTCGTTTTTCGAATGAAAGCTAAAAATGGCTCATGGGGGATCATGGAAGACTAAACGAATAGGCGCAGGGTTTTTACAAACTCCCGTTTCTTATTTGATATGCGTCGTTGGGTTCCGGCAATGCCCATTGATATCGGCCGCTCACGATTGAGGTCCGGCAATGCCCGCTGAGCTCTGCAGCTTGCGGAGTTGTGTATGTACAGAATTGTAATAATAATTCATAGTACTGTATCTCATTTTCGCAAAATTTTCGCGGATAAACATGTTACTTTCGCGAATTCAAAACCTCTCGCGAGGGTTCCCAACATAACATGAACGGTCTTCACGAGTAATTAATTAAAACTCTTTACAAGGACATCTAGATCAATCACCATATCTGTTTACGCCACGAACAACATGAATTTGTCAGCGGCTTGAAGGAAATCTTTGAGATAAGTGGCATATTTCGCCTGACCGATGTTATATCACGCACAAACAATCAAAACTCTCCGAAGTCAATCTCTGCAAATTTGCAGATAGCAATGCATCATTGAAACACTTTGAAACCATATGAAACCTAAAAGTCCAGAAATCCGTAACCTGAAGAGCTTTCTCAAAAACCCGTCCATCCATTGTTCGATCCGCCAGCAAAATAGATGTGTGGTATATGTGTGGTTACATGTTACATGCCAATGTTTCAAAGATTCAAAAAATAAAGTTCGCCAGTCTGTTCTTCTATGCCATTGGGTTTGAGTTTCCACGGAACATGGTCCCTTCATGTCCCTTCCTTCTCCTTCGAGTTGGTGGTTAGCAAGCTGTTGCTGAACAGCAACGCCTTAGGCATCTCAAGGGCAAAAAGGCTTGGCAAAAAAAAATGGTTCCAATTACTTTACTTCGAGTTTTCCCCACCATGACATTTATACGTTTTGTTACTGGCAAATCTTCTGGCATTCTATCTGACATATCTTCTGGCATTTTATCTGGCATATCTTCTGGCATTCTATCTGGCATATCTTCTGGCATTCTACCTGGCATATCTTCTCCAATATGTTCTGGCATATCTTCTGGCACTCTATCTGGCATATCTTCTGGCATTCTATCTGGCATATCTTCTGGCATTCTACCTGGCATATCTTCTGCAATATGTTCTGGCATATCTTCTGGCATATCTATCTGGCATATCTTCTGGCATATCTTCTGACATTCTATCTGGCATTCTATCTGGCAAATCTTCTGGCATTCTATCTGACATATCTTCTGGCATTCGATCTGGCATTCTATCTGGCATATCTTCTGGCATTCTATCTGGCATATCTTCTGGCATTCTATCTGGCATATCTCATGGCATTTTATCTGGCATATCTTCTGGCGTCCTATCTGACCGTTGAGGTCCAGCGGTGCACACTGAGCTGGGCAGGTCAGTGCACACTGAGCTGGGAAGGTCCCAGGTTGAGGTCCAGCGGTGCACACTGAGCTGGGCAGGTCCCAGGTTGAGGTCCAGCAGTGCACACTGAGCTGGGAAGGTCCCAGGTTGAGGTCCAGCGGTGCACACTGAGCTGGGAAGGTCCCAGGTTGAGGTCCAGCAGTGCACACTGAGCTGGGAAGGTCCCAGGTTGAGGTCCAGCGGTGCACACTGAGCTGGGAAGGTCCCAGGTTGAGGTCCAGCAGTGCGCACTGAGCTCGGAAGTTGGCGAAGAGCTTGGCGAAGAGTTGGCAATGCGGAAGTAGAGGTGGAAGTTGATGCAGACATGGTCGAGGAGAAACTGGAGGAGGAGGCGCAGGAGGAGGAAGAGGAGAAGGAAAACGAGAGCTAGTCGAGGAGGAAGAGAACAGCTCTGATAAAATCTAACAACCCTCACCTGGCAGGTGGGGACATATTGCTAAAAATATTTCCAAAAGGTCCTCATAATCTGCTGTTGGAAAATAATAAATGCAACAGGTGTCCTGCGCTACACCTTTGTTACTTATGTTACTTGTTTGCATGAGCCCAGGCACCAGGCAACATGTTCAACAGGCAGTTTAAAGCGAGCATTGGTCCCAAGACATTGAACGGTCCCTGTGAGGCGTTTGTCAAGGGCATACTGTGTCCAAGATCCCGTTGCTGAGATCCAAGCTGATTCAGAGATTTTGGGATTCACACTTGGCGCCTGTCAAATTTGGTCGGGAGAAGTAGTCTCTCCTCAAAATCCTCAAAACTGATCAATTGTTGCATAAACAACGGGCATAACCAGCGGCATAACCAAAGTTTCAAGGTCCTCGTTCAGCTTATATCGAGCTGAAAGGAGTAGTCTGCCAACACGCTCAACGTCTTTCTTCGACTCCTGAGTTGCTGGAAGCTCAACTGGACCCAGCTAGATGTCTGAACATGAAAGCAGCCAGTCTTTCAACTGATGTCATTGGTAGAAAAGCGCCTGCGGCCTGCGCTTCAAACAGGACCCTGGGCCTGCATTATCCGCCTACAATCATCCCTCACACACGACTTTTCCATGGTGCTCCTTCAGCGATAATATAATGTTACTATGTCATACTATGTCCTTCCCAACAATTTGATTCATACTGACAGAAAGACAGAAAGTACGTAACAGAAAATCATTTGGGTAGGTCCAAACATGGGCCCTGTAACCCGGGTCCTGGTCAAAAAGCTCCTGGATCTCCTCCACGGCCGCTCTCATTTCCGGAATCCTAGCAGGTCAATTCCACGCAAGCGACCCAAGCGACCCAAAATCCTCAAGGTCGAGACGGTAAACCAATGGATTTTGGCTCCATGATTTAAGGCCGTATTCATGCCGTGCTGGTTCTGATACTTCTACTTCTACTCAGAAGTTTCTGTCCATGAACGTCCATGAATGTGCATGATCCACACGATTCCACATCCGTACTGATTTGCAGAAGACGCTGAAACATCACAGGCATACTGTCAACCTTAGGACCTACCTTAGAGTCTCGCGTTGCATTGACTACTGGGCTTTAAGATGTTTTAAGATGGTTTAAGATGTTTTAAGACATCAGGTACTGGGAAGCCACAATCTGGTGGGCTGCATCAGGTTTGCCCCCACGTCAGCCGAGTAACGGAGTCAAAAATGGCTTCCACCTCACAGTGACATCCTCTTTGTAATTCCTGGCAACGAATCTTCAGTAAGAGGAAACAGCACCACCGCCACCACCACCACCACCACCTACAACAACAACAACAACAACAACGACAACGACAACAACAACAACAACCACAACCACAACCACAACCACAACCACAACAACCACAACAACCACAACAACAACAACAACAACAACAACAACAACAACAACAACAACAACACACAACAACCACAACAACCACAACAACCACAACAACCACAACAACAACAACAACACACAACAACCACAACAACCACAACAACCACAACAACCACAACAACAACAACAACGACAACAACGACAAGAACAACGACAAGAACAACCACAACCACAACCACAACCGCAACAACCGCAACAACCACAACAACCACAACAACCACAACAACCACAACAACCACAACAACAACAACAACAACCACAAGAACCACAACAACCACAACAACCACAACAACCACAACAATCACAACAATCACAACAACCACAGCCACCACAGCCACCAACCACCAACCACAACCACAACCACAACAACCACAACAACCACAACAACCACAACAACCACAACAACCAGAACAACCACAACGACAAACCAACAAACCAACCAACCAACCAACCAACCAACCAACCAAACAAACAAACAAACAAACAACAACAACACCAGCAACAACACCAGCAGCAGCAGCAGCAAGAAGAAGAAGAAGAAGAAAATGAAGGCAGCACCACGTCGCTGTCCAGCCTATCAAGCAGCCCGCCCGCCTGAACAGGGTCTCCGCTTTCTGCTTTGCATCGCTAATGAGAGCGATGGCCTCGCCATGTATTTACCATTGTCCACCCTTGGGATCCCTTGGCCAAGCCAAGATCAGCGTCTTGTGTTACTGCTGGTATCAGTGTAGCAGCGCAGTATGTTATGTAGATTGTAATAACATCTACAGCAATATACTGTAACATCGATGAACAATCTGGTAATCAGCTGTCCTTCGACCAAGTCATCAACCCGAAAGCACCATTTCACCAACTGGACAGCTGCGCCAGAGATCCGCCAGCCTTTTGGGCCTTCTCGGAGTTCAAGTCTCCCACGATCTTCCTGACGTGGAGCAACGTCAAATCCGAAACCCTGGAATCGACAAAGGGCCTAAATGTTTGTGAGATAAATTGCATATCAGTTTCGCTGATGGTTGCCTTCTGATGCCTTCTGCACCATTTCAAGCCGGCTCAAAAATGCTCTTCTAGTGGCATGGCAACCGATCCACTTGGTCACATGTTTCACACAACCGAAGCCGCTGCTATCCGCCGCATTCTTCACTCTCTTCACACCGGGCTTCACACCTGGTAGATGGATCGATCTCATCCAACTTGCGATAGTCGAATGCCACCCCAACGGCTTGAGCCTCCTGGCCGACGCTCCCAACATTGCAGTGCTGCCGGCCACCTGAAGCTAAGCTATTGAGAAAGTATGAGAAGGTTTTGAGTTTGGAGAGTAGCACCTTACATATCCTACATGCACCTTACTATATCTATATTTATATAATATATAATAATAATAAAATATTATATATATATTATATAGATAATTGGATTCGCTTGGTTTCATTTAGTCATTTGGAGCCACATCAATTAAGTTACTTCAAGCTCATTCCCAAGGGCCTCCGCACACAGCATGGAGGCCATACTTCCAAGGAGCCCTTGCCTGGTGGCGACGTTCACATGTAGCAGCTTAGCAGCACCCAAAAAAGCTGGGAAATGGATGTTGAACCTGCAAATTCTCTGTGGCCATGAACTGTAGAGGACGATTCATCGCATCGACTTGATAACAAGCTCCCTGGCGTCCGCATGCTTCTGCCTCCTCCCAACATCCAGCTTGGACGGCCCTCGACCTGGTTCTGCAAGTTTGTACACAGGCTTTCAACTGAGCAGCAAGACTTCCAGAACTCTCACTTTCACAAGCAGTCACTATGTCACACTATGTCACAATATTGTCACAATATGTCACAATATGTTAGAATATCTCACAATGGCCAATCCAAGCCATCAAGAATGCCTTCGGCAAGAAATGCGGTCTTGGAGAAGCTCAGCGCCACCTCAGAGGCTTCCAAGTCGTCCCAGCACAAAAAGATATGGAAATCTGTGGGTCGACCCATACCCAAACCATATCGAAGAGATTCGAAGAGCATTACATATCATTACATGCATATAGATTGCCACACGACACATGGGGGATCTACATCGAACTGTTGTAGGATTCCTGCTCTCACCTGCATAGGATTGGAAAGGTAGTCGAACCTGCGAACCCAGCAGGTTTTTTTTCCTAACCAATCACTCTTGATCTGCTGCTGAGATCAACAACTGTCAGAGATATTGAGCCAAGGAGAGGGGAATGGCGAGATCTTGTCCATTCTGTTTCTCCATGAAGAGGGCAAAGTGCTCCTCGTCAATGGTACCATTTGGATACATCAAGCGGAGAAGGTTGTAGCTGTGGAATTGCGTGTGCGTCTTCGCGTATGTCTCATCTGGAGTGGCCCATGGTGGGACAATCCATGTGTCCCTGACGTACTTTCGCCCGCCGTCATACTGTGTCAGATGCCAGAGCATTGGGCCCGCTTCGTATGTGTCTGAGAATGGCTTGCCAAAGAAAGAGTCGCCTACAAAGCAATATTCTCCATCTTGCAATGTACTGGGACAGTAGAAGCGCACTTTGTATTGCATCTTCTCAGCATAAGGTATCAAGTATGAGCCAGGGATGAAAGGACCAATGCCTCCAAATTTTGGTTCCGGAACGTCAGCTTGTGCAGTGCAGTCCCAGATGTTGATGTCGCCGGCCTTGGAAGAAGAATCCAATTTCAGATTTGAGAAATCAATCCAGCCGACTGGGCCCATCTGATCAAACATGTAGACCCCCTGCAACGGGAAGGCTGCAGTGCCTCCCTTCGTCCCAACTTTCTTCATAAAGTTGCGGATCTCCTCTGAGCTTGTGTTGAAACATGTTGAAACACGTGCAGAATCTGTGGGTTGCTGCCTCAAAAAAGCAGTGGCCAAACAAAAATAAACAAAAACATACAGTATGTTCAATGGCTTCTGCCATGTTTAAGGGTTTCTACCTCGTTCAACAGTTCAACAAGTCTTGTTGCAGTTCTATGATCTAGACTCCGAACATATCCTAAAATTGCATGAATCATCATGAATCACTCACATCTCAGTCCTTGTTGGGAACTAGCAAATCTTTGTCACCTGGGCCCTTCATCGCGTAGCTGGGTAAGAGCTTCCCTGTGGCACAAAACAAAGGCGTGACATCGATCTTCACCAAACCAGTGCCCACGAGGACAGCCAGCACGGGAACGAGGAGTGTACAGCAGCCGCCCAGCATTTAACCAAGGATGCCGGCGATGTCTGCCGCAGATGGCGGCGAGTGGCTCCACTTTGCCGGAGATGACTGGTAAACAAAGTTAAACAATAGAATGATTCGGAAATGATTCGTGGGAATATAAATTAATTAAGCATAATTAAGCACTGAAGAGAGTTATGACTGACTATTGATGGCAATCAGGTCACAATTGAACTCTCAAGCTTAAAGGCAACCTTCTTCGCAGGTGTGCGCAAAGGAAGCGAGCCCAAAGTTTCTCGGCTCTTGAAGCAGTATCCACGACTGATGCCATGTTGCTTAAAACAAGCAGCAACAAAGTGGTTTGTCCGGAAATACCCCCAAACATCATCAAACATCCACTGGTTCATATTATTTTCCTCAGGGAATTTCGGGGGCACCATTTCTGGCACCAAGTCTCCCCGCCAAAATAGACGCCACACAGGCCCTGCCATGCAAAAACGTGACATGGCTATGGGTCAAAACTGGAGTACTGTATCGGTGGACCCACCAAATGTCCGTATTTTTGAGATATTTTGACTATTTACCAATCGATTTTGTATGAATTTGAGTATTTGCAAATCGATTTGAGGGGTTTGAGAAAACCTCAATAAACCTCACGTCATTTTGAAAGCAAACCACCAGGCCTACGAAGGGTGCCGCTGCGCCCAGCCATTGGCTTGCTTCGTGTTTCGCATCTGCACCAGAAGCAAAGAGGATGCAGAGTGTATCACAAGACCAAAGTCGAAAGAAACATACTGTCCCGCGAGCTCTACGTGTACCTCTTTTTTTGCATCCTCATGAATATCCTGAATCTGAATATGGACATCATATACGACATATCATGTGTACTTAAATTTATCTTAATTTATGATATTTATGCAAAATACACATCTACATGCATAATAATATACCGTACCATCCCCCTTTGAATTCGGTCCCTAACCCGGGTGTTCAGATTCTTTAAAGGGACGCCCTGTGCCACCAAAAAATATCTTTAAAGAATGGGAACCCTTCTGTACAGGCACCTGGTACAGTGCTTAAAGAATCATACCCAGTTGGCCACTCTAACCCATGAGGCTTAAAGAATCATACCCGGTTGCGCCCCTCGAGAGGGCAAAAAATGAGCCTAAAGAATTAGAACACCCGGGTTTGAGTTGTAGACATTCACCCGTATGAAATTTCACGTATGTTTTGTAGCTTTGCGTGGTTCTTCGGAAATCTACCTACAACATATTTTTACTAATGTTTGTTAGCCCTAAACACTCCCAATTCCAAAAAAATGCGCAAACCGAAACACCTCCGCTCCTGCTCGCTGATCTCAATTCAATTTTTGCCGCTCTCTTGCATTATGACCCCGTGTAGAACAGAGAAAGTGGATTTTAACAAAAAAAAAATAATTATTAAAAAAAACAGAATCACCAAAAAAACAAATCGACAGGAAGAATCACCGGAAGAAACAAAAAAAACAAGAAAAAAAAACAAAAATCAAAAAAAACAAAAAAAACAAAACCTGCATTTTCCGCAGTTTTTTTTGTTTTTCTTGTTTTTTTCCTTGGTTTTGGTTTTCTAGTTTGTTTTTTTTGGTTGCTCTGTTTTTTTTGTTTTTTTTTTATATTTTTTCCGTCAAACCCTATATTCTCTGTGTTGTTGGACTCATAACTCTTGCAACGCAAGATATCCCCAGTCTGATCTAAAGATCATTGGCAGTTCTGATTCTTTAGAGGTTATATAAGGCCTGTCGACCCATCAAAACCCAGTAGTTTTACATAGTTCTATGTTATGTTGGTTCATTTTGGATAAGTTTTGGATATTTTCAGGGGAAGCCTCTCTAAAGAATCAGGACCCAGATCCCAACACAGGGGTTTGTTAAGCTGCCTTCTGAAAACCACTGGTGCTATACCTGGGAATATTGGAGGTTCCCTGAGAGAGCAAGCAAAAGCAGCCCCCGTGATTTCAGGGTAGGGGGGGTCACCACCACCCCCCCTCCCAGACACCCCCCCCCTCCTCCCTGACATCTTCTAGGGTAGGGGAGGGTCAGCACCACCACCCCCCCCACACACCTTCTAGGGTAGGTCACCACTTCCCCCCCCCGCGCATCTTCCAGGGCAGGGCGGGTCACCACCTCCCCCCCCCACAAACCTAGGGTAGGTCACCAACCTCCCCCCCCCCCGAACACCTTCTAGGGTAGGAGGGGGTCACCACCCACCTCCCCCCCCCCACACACCTTCTAGGGTAGGTCACACCTTCCCCCCCCCCCCACATCTTTAGGGTAGGGGGGGTCACCACCACCTCCCCCCCCAGACACTTCTAGGGTAGGGCGGGTCACCACCACCTTCCTACCCCTAACATCACATATGGGGGCACACCCCCCCCCCCCCACACACCTTCTAGGGTAGGTCACCACCTTCTCCCCCCCGCACATCTTCTAGGGTAGAGGGGCGTCACCACCTCCCCCCCCTCCCTGACACCATTGCGTGTGTGTGTGTGTGATGTATTTATTAATATGTTCAATATATAAATATAAAAATATCTATTTTCTTCTACTGTAATAAATGTGAGTACGGATCAAATATCATATGTAATAGCACATGCATATTATATATATACATAGGCTCCTATATATATATATATCATATACTTACATTCTGCCTATATATATATATGTGTGTGTGTGTTTGTGTATGGACCAAAATATCATATATATATATATATATACTGGCACAAATATACATATATATATATATATCCACGTAAGCTGCTACAGTGCCACAGGAAAGGTGGGAACGGCTTGGCCATCCAAGTCCGAGATTTGTTCCGATCTTAATCCGAGCACATCTTATCTTGAATATAATTAATATCCACCGAGACTTGTGCTTACGTACTTGCTGGGTACGCATTGCGGGGGGAGGCGCTGCGCCCTCCCCCCTGCACCCCACCACCCGCTTTTATTTTTTTGACCGCTCCCTTTGCTACCTAGTCTCACTGCCTTTTTTCCAAAACATTGCTTCTTTGGGTTCATCTTATCTTGAATATAATTAATATCCACCGCGACTTGTGCGTACGTACTTGCTGGGTACGCATTGCGGGGGGAGGCGCTGCGTCCTCCCCCCTGCACCCCCCCACCCGCTTTTTTTTTTGACCGCTCCCTTTGTTACCTACTCTCTCTCCTGGGTCCGTATTGCGGGGGGAGGCGCTGCGCCCTCCCCCCTGCACCCCACCACCCGCTTTCATTTTTTGCTCGGCTCCCCTTGCTACCTACTCTCACTCCCTTTTTTGGCAAAACATTGTTTCTTTGGGTTCATCTGTATCAATATCCACCGAGACTTGTGCTTACGTACTTCTTGCTGAGTACGCATTGCGGGGGGATGCGCTGCGCCCTCCCCCCTGCACCCCCACCCGCTTTTATTTTTTTGACCGCTCCCTTTGCTACCTAGTCTCACTGCCTTTTTTCCAAAACATTGCTTCTTTGGGTTCATCTTATCTTGAATATAATTAATATCCACCGCGACTTGTGCGTACGTACTTGCTTGGTACGCATTGCGGGGGGAAGCGCTGCGCCCTCCCCCCTGCACCCCCCCACCCGCTTTTATTTTTTGACCGCTCTCTCACTCCTGGGTCCGTATTGCGGGGGGAGGGCGCAGCGCCCTCCCTCCTGCACCCCCCCACCCGCTTTTTTTTTGACCGCTCTTTTTTTTACCTACTCTCACTCCTGGGTCCGTATTGCGGGGAGAGGCGCTGCGCTCCCCCCCTACAACACGGACCCAGGCCCCCCACCCGCTTTTATTTTTTTGACCGCTCCCTTTGCTACCTACTCGCGCTCCCTTTTTTTCAAAGGCATCGTTTCTTTGGGTTCATCTTATATGGAATAGAATTAATATCCACCGAGACTTGTGCTTACGTACTTCTTGCTGGGTACGCATTGCGCAGCCCTCCCCCCTGCACCCCCCCACCCGCTTTTATTTTTTGACCGCTCCCTTTGTCACCTACTCTCACTCCTGGGTCCGTATTGCGGGGGGAGGCGCTGCGCCCTGACCCCCCCACCCGCTTTTTTTTTTGACAGCTCCCTTTGCTACCTACTCTCACTCCCTTTTTTACAAAACATTGTTTCTTTGGGTTCATCTGTATCAATATCCACCGAGACTTGTGCTTACGTACTTCTTGCTGGGTACGCATTGCGGGGGAGGCGCTGCGCCCTCCCCCCTGCACCCCCCCCCGCTTTCATTTTTTGCTCGGCTCCATTGCTACCTACTCTCTCTCCTGGGTCGTTATTTATTGCGGGGGGAGGGGCGCTGCGCCCTCCCCCTTGCACCCCACCACCCGCTTTCATTTTTGCTCGGCTCCCCTTGCGACCTACTCTCACTCCTTTTTACAAAAAATTGTTTCTTTGGGTTCATCTGTATCAATATTCAACCGAGGGACTGTGCATTACTATTCTTGCTGAGTACGGGCATTGCGGGGGGAGGCGCTGCGCCCTCCCCCCTGCACCCCCCCACCCGCTTTTATTTTTTTGACCGCTCCCTTTGTTACCTACTCTCTCTCCTGGGTCCGTATTGCGGGGGGAGGCGCTGCGCCCTCCCCCCTGCACCCCACCACCCGCTTTCATTTTTTGCTCGGCTCCCCTTGCTACCTACTCTCACTCCCTTTTTTACAAAACATTGTTTCTTTGGGTTCATCTGTATCAATATCCACCGAGACTTGTGCTTACGTACTTCTTGCTGAGTACGCATTGCGGGGGGAGGCGCTGCGCCCTCCCCCCTGCACCCCCCCCACCCGCTTTTATTTTTTTGACCGCTCCCTTTGCTACCTAGTCTCACTGCCTTTTTCCCAAAACATTGCTTCTTTGGGTTCAGGGGGAAGGTGGTGATGTGACCCCCCCCCATGACATGCAGGGGGGGAGGAGGTGGTGATGTGACCCCCCCCATGACATGCGGGGGGGGGGAGGTGGTGATTGCGTTGTACCCCCCCAGTGGACATGGCGTGTGGGGGGGAGGTGGGTTGCTGTGTAACCCGCTGCCGCATACTCGACGGGGGGGAGGTGGTGATGTGACCCCCCCCATGACATGCGGGGGGCGGGGAGGTGGTGATGTGACCATCTCCATGACATGCGAGGGGGGGGTGGTGCTGTCACCCCCCCCATGACATGCGAGGGGGGGGAGGTGGTGATGTGACCCCCCCCATGACATGCGGGGGGGGGGGCCGGATGGGGTGATGTCTGACCCCCCCAGTGTGACATGCGAGGCCGGGGGGGGGGGGAGGTGGTGATGTGACCCCCCCCATGACATGCCAGGCGGGGGGGGAGGTGGTGAACCCCCCCCCAGCCAGAATCACTGGGGACAGAATTTGGTGCACTATCAAAAAAACATAAAGATATTCACGGGGTCTCTACAAAACTGCCGAAAACTCGGCGAGTCTTAGGCACGGTTGTGGAGACAGTCTCTTTGCCGCGTTTGATTTTTAGTTTCAGTTGGCCGCCAACTTTGGTCGAGCGAACCGCCATTTGCACCTGGTCAAAGTGGCAGAGCTTTTGGCCATTCACCTGCAGCGCCGTGCAGATAGCTCGGCTGCTCACACCACTGTCCGTTTGCAACGTGGGTCCAAAAAGGTTGAGCCACAACATTGAACATGTGGAAGGAAGGATCAAAAGACGGCTTAGGCTTAGATTAGATATGATTAGATAGATCAATAAAAACAACAAGTCATTCAGATTTATTCATTATTCTGGATGTCAATTTTGCCACCTTTTCATTGCTGAACACGGACAGGGAAGCCCATGGCACCGTCAACAGAAAAAGGCTGACCCAGGGATGCTAAGGGTATCCAAAGGCCAAACCAGCCCAACTGGCACAACCGGCCCAACCGGCCAACCTCCACGATCTGATCGTTCTCCTGCAACTTTGCTTCTTCTGCTGGGCTGCCCTCCAGTACCATCTCAACAAATGCACCTTGCCCAAAGGACTCCTAAGCGCAAGGCCAGAAATAGTATCAACATGTCTGATACATTCTGAAAGTATAAAATATTACAAAATATTAGTGTTCTTTGGCTTCTCAACGAGCGTTGGGTAAAAAGAAAGCGCAGAACAAAACGGATTCTGGGTCACAGCTTGGGCACAAGACTCGATTTCATCTTCAATCCAATGTATGGACGTGGCACCTTCTTTCTTGAGATAAGGCTTGGTAAAGCACTCCGGATGGAATCCGCAGGTATAGCAAAGCCGATGCCCTCTCCAAACAAGGCCCTCATGCTGATCATGCCAATCACTTCTCCGACTTCGTTCAGCCTTCATTCTACCCGAGGCCCACAAACAACAAACAGAATTCAAATATATATATATAGATAGATAGATAGATATTATATATATATATATATTTGTTTATTTACTTGTTTTTTTATTCATTTATTTACTTATATTTAATTATATTTACAACATTTTATATACAACCTGAATCAAGATGAATACAGCTGACCCTGTAAAATAATGATCTCACACATCCCCATGCAGGTATGAAAATGAATGAAAATGATGGTGAAGTCAATGAAGTGTGCTTGGATTGATCATACTGACCTGACTTTGTGGCTAGCTCAGCTTAAAATCTTCAAAGCAAATAGCCAAAGAATAAGCGCAGCTCTCCAAGCACACGACTAGAAACATTGGTCCTCCACTATTGCCTTGATTGACAGCTGCATCAGTCTGAATGAGAGGGTGTCTCATCCAATCAAAGCCTGTCTCTCCAGTGGATCTGTCCAGTGAAGACAAACCATTTCTAGGTAATCCCTGGACAAGCGTTCTAGCAAAATTGCACGGCTGCCACAATCTTGTCCTCGTGAACCGCTGCTGTGCCGTGCACCAGAAATTTGACATGATGTATTTTGAATTCAGTCTTGACTTTAACAGGTAGTGCGTGAAACGTTTGTCTCGCTGTTTGTGATGTTCAATTTTTTGGATTAAAACTCGATTCAATTTGTACCATTTTTTGAACCTGCAGTGTTGTTGCTGCTCTCAACATTTCATAGCTTTGACATCCATGGCGGACTCTGATCGTTCGCGCTCCCCTGTGCCTGGCCGAAATCGTGCTGAACCACGAGCTCCGGAGCCTGCTGCTCGACAAGAACTACCATTCTTCCCGCGATGGTGTGGACCAATGCAAGCAGCAGTCTGGCACTCAACTCAGATGTCTCGACCTCAGTCTCGGCCTCAGTTTCGACCTCAGTTCAACATGCCTCAGCCGGGACCTTATTCGATGAATCAGTCCACAAGTCAGCTTCTATCCAATTCACCGGGACTCCACTCCATCCCACGGTTTCCACCTACTCCACCAGCATCGCCTCCACCAACACTTCCATATCCAATTCCACCTCGCCTGGCCTCTCCACCATGCTCACCAACTCTGCCATGCCGACACAAGTGGCTTCACCAAGCACTCCGTCCATCCCATCGTCCCAACCTCGCCATGCTGGCACTCCACACATGACCTCACCAGGAGGCCACACCATCACTGATGAAACCAGAACATATGGTTTCGATCTAAATCCTCATTGGCAAGAGGACAAAGATCACTTCGACAACCAGAAGATCAATGGCTTGACTTTCCCTCGGACGATCCGTCAATCCGCTTTCAGTCAAAAACTGGACATCGAAGGGTGTGATCCTTTGAAACTACCAGTAGCGGCTTTGCTGTATCAGCAGGCCAACAATTTTTGGCTTCGAAAGCTGGCTCATGGACGTGAACTCTACTTGATTCCGACTGGGGACATCGCGGCTGTGGTATTTACAACGGAACTACTCACTCAGTTGCGCAACAAGGGAGTCGACATAGACAAGGTCGCCTCCTCAAAAGCCAGACAAGATGGAAAGTTCTTGGACAAGACTCAAAACACCAAGTATGCAGCGCAACAAATCGCAGACCTCATCCATGGCTGGGTTCCAACCCGTGCAGCTGATCCGGAGACACAGCACGAGCTTACACAGCTCCGAAGCCAACTTGCCCAACTTCGTCAACAATTGGGCGACGACACAACCGCACCAAATGCTCCAGGTCCCACAGGACCTTCTGCTTCCAGTCCTCCTGCCACACCCATCCAAGCAGCGTTCATGAGGACCTCGAACAGTCCAGCACCTCCTGCTCAGCTTCGATCCATCCTCCTTGCTTGTCGGCACCACCACACTCAATCCGTGGCTATCCCAACACATGCCACCAACTCTCGCAGGACGAGCCTTCAGCAAATGGCTCAAAGATCTTCCACTATCAGAGCCGAAGAGGAAAGTCCTCATGGACAACATCGCAAAAACAGAAGAGTGGTGGGAAAACCAGCCTTCAGAAGCAATTGACACCGTGACACGTGTGGCCGTTATGATGGGCATCCCAGTTACTCTCCTGGGAAAGAACTATGACGCGCTCAATCTCTTGAAGACTATGACAGCGGCCATCAGCCTCACCAATTGACTAGCTCCTCAACTTCGTCGAAAGCTCAAGCACAAGGTGCTACAATCCCATTTGCATATCCTCCATGCGATGACTCTCGTCATCTATCTTTTGACTCCCTTCGCCATGACTCACAGCATTCATCTTTTTCAGGGCTTCCGCATCATTCAAACACGAATGATGCTCCTGGCAATCCTCCACGGTCTCCGACCCAATCCAAAGCTGAAGTCAATTTTGGAAGGATGTACGGATCTCACCCATCTGTGGGGAAACGCCCTACACTCACACAACCTTTTTTCCAGACCATTTTTCCCGCCTCAGAGCGTTTACATTCGTTTCACCCATATTGTCAACCTGCAACCCAAATTCTACTTGGGCTCTGCCATGCACAGCACCCTGGACCGAGAATACAGCCGATCCAGAAAATACCTTCAGCTCAGACATGAACGCCTAGTTCAAGCTGAACTTGCTCTTCGCTATTGGCAAGAACACGACAACCTCTACGTTTGGGCTCCCATCCCAGTCTACACAAACAGGGCAGACTTCCGCAGTCTTGAGATGGCTTTGATCCAAGAGTGGCAACCCAAACTCAATTTTCCTTTCATTTGCCAATTCTTCCATCCCAAAAGGGGCATTCTCAAGAAACCCCTTCTCAACACCAACGCTCAGTTCGGCCTTGCCACACTCTGGCGTCGATCCCGACACAAGTTCACTCCCCAAATTGTCCGCCAAATTTTGACGTCCTCTCGATTCCAAAACCGCTTGGAACTATGGACAATCATCCACGCCTTGGGATCAAATACCAAGGCACGTTTTGAACAAATGAAGATGCTTCGATCCAATGATGGCGGCCTTACGCTCTGCTATGCTCTTCGTCGACTGGCGAACAATACCCAAGAGCCTTTCAGAACTCTATCGCTGAATGCGATCGACAGCACCATCAAGTGGTGGCGAGGGAAGCCTGCTCCGAGAGCCTCAGCACTACGAGCACCATGGTCACTCTCTCCCAATCTTCCCCTTCAGTTGAAGAATTTTCTTCGAACATGGCACCACAAGATGTTGGACTATCAGGTCCCATGTCACACACCCTCCTTCAAGACCGTATTCATCAAACATGCTGCAGTCCTTGATCAACTTTGCAATCACAAACAGGCCATCGCTGACTGGTCTACATCCAATCCACCCATTTGCTGCTGCAAAGTTTGGACGACATACAAATCTGCAGCTCTAAACCCGACCGACGACCACTGGGTCCTGTCCGCATCCCTCCTTCACTCTCTTCTTCCACCGGCTCTAGCAGTGATTGCTGAAGGCTCTTTATCCAACAAAGTCTTCCCGTCCAAGAAGGAATACCTCACCCAGCTGCGATCGGGCCTTCAGTCGTGGACAAAACGCAATGGTCTACCCTCCATGCCAACTTCCAGCATCTCAGAACTTGGCCATCACCTTTGGTCAGAACACACCCAACACATCACCAACCACATTACCAGACCTCTATTGCCCAACTTCAATCCACTTTCGAAGGAGCTGTGTTCCACTGCGAAGACAAACAGTCATCCTCTTTACGGATTTACTGTCCATGTTTGTACTACCAGTCCATCGAGAACACCTTCCAAGATCCTTCAATCTTTGAAACACTCCAAGTTGACCCAACTGCCACCGTCACTTCCCTCGTAACGTCTCTCCAGAAAAAACACGGAAAAGCATATCCGTGGGCGGTGGGCGCTGGCCGTCAACTACCAGCAGGCTACATCTTGGCGAAGCGCAAGAAAGAGTTCCGCAGCGGACGACCCATCATCTCCTTCGTGGAGTCACCTTTCCGACCCATGCTCAACATCCTGGCTCGACTTATCGTTCAACTTATCCCAGTGGCCTGCCCAAATCACTTTGCTACGGGAGATGTCTACACTCTTCTATCAATTTTGAAGTCAGCACCTGTCGATGCAGACCTAATCCTGGTCAACCAGGATTTAGCAGGCTTCTTCACCAGCATCGATCAAGACAGATTTGTCGGATCCTGGTTCATGCTTCTTGACTTCCTTCGTCCTACCATGAACGTTTCCGACGATGAAGTGTTTTCTGTCTACCCTGGAAAATCCAACAATCCAGGCGATATCATCAAAGGACGCACGTTTCGTCGTCTCAATGTCACCAGGAAAATCATCATCAAAGATGTTCCAGACCTGATTAAATCAGCCCTAAACATGCAGACTTTCGCTCTTGGCCAAAAGTGCATCCGTCAATGCCGTGGAAGCCCAATGGGAAGCCCTCTTTCCCCGGCATTATGCTTGATGGTGGTATCCGTCAGTGAACAAATCTGGTCTGGTCCATCACTTTCCACCAACTTCTCTCCAACCATCACCTCTTCATCCGACATATCCGCTACGTTGACAACCGCCTGGTTTTTGGTGACAGACAACTTACTGATCTTGCTCCCTATGAAGTACTCCTCGATGATGGTTTCTATGGCAAACCCATCATTCTTGAAACTGAACCAGACCAAGAATTCCTTGGCTTCATGCTGGAAACCAAACCACTCGAGTTGATCTATCAGGGACCTACCAATGTCTCTCAAGTCCTTTCACCATACTCGGCTTCACCTCCAAAAGTTCTTCTCAGCGGCTTTCGATCCAGATGTCACATCGTCATCAAGGGTGCCTTTCCTACGGCCCGAGTCCATCAAGGCCTCGATCAATTAATTCGCTTGTACACACGTGCTGGCTTTCCCAAAGAGGAACTCCAATCACTATCTGATCAACTTTTGATTCAGCATCAGAACAGTCAGCTGCCCAGCCAAATATTTGCGGCTTCTGCTGCTTGTGTCGCGCGTTTCTTCTCCCTCTCCTCTCTCTGTTCTTTCTCC